GCTTCTCCTTTTTTCTCCCTTTTCTTATGACTTAATATGGGAATATTTCTTCTGTGTTTGTGTGTGTGTACGTGTTGAAGGAGTGTTATAGTTTGACAGTGAGTGGAAATACCAAAGTGCCTTAATAATATTGGTGTATAGTATTATGAATCACAATTGAATTGATTAGATGGATATATGAATGAATAACTACATAAATAGAGGTCGACTTAAATTTCATTGGATGCAATTTTTAAAATAGATGATTTCCTTTAGTTTGGTTTGCAAGGGTTAGTTTCATTTTTACGAGTTGATCATGGAGGACTGATATCAGTTGGAGAACCGCTGAATACCAGGGAGTACTAGAAAGCTTTTTCATTCTGGTTTGGCAATCATCGGCATTACGCACCCACTGAACCTGCCTTGTAACCGGAAGGTCCTGGGTTCGAGTCCTGTCTGTGAGTGTTTACTGCGGATGATTCCCAAACTAGGCTGGCGGGTGGTTGTCGCACCTACGACAATGGTTGCGGTAGAAGTTACAATTCATGAGCCTTTAAATCGGGTCCTAATGACTGAATGGTACACGAGGTTACCTTGTAACTGCAAGGCCCTGGGTTCGAACCCTGGCAGCGGATGTGTACTATCGATGATTCCCAAACTAGGATGAAACAGCAGCTGTCCAGTACTCCCTGGTTTTCAATGGTTCTCTAGCTGATATCAATCCGTGATCAACTCGTTAAAATAAATGATCGCAAAATAAAGTACATTCGGAAATGTGACTGTGTGAATAGAAATAATATGATAGAAACATAGAATAAGTGAAATGTTATCAAAGTATTAGACTAGATAAAATGTTACCATATGATAACTTAACGTGAAATGAAATAAAACAAAATTGTAACACGGAATAAAGAAGAATAACAATGTCTTTGTGTGAATTACATAGTAAAATTAAGACCAAGCTAACCGATGAGACTATTTGAATTGTTTTTGTAACCAAATTTCTGACTCTGCGTTATATATCTCTAAAGCCTTCACTGTACAGAACAAATCCACCAATGTCCCTTTCCATAAACTTTGTCAGACTTTCTAGATTATATTAAACTTTATGTAAGATGCTGCATTGTCAGTATATACAGTATGTTGCAATATCGATGAATTAATATCTCTGCTCATTCTGCTTTGCTCATCAAAACTGAGAGGTGCTCTCGAACATAGCGCGTCACGTTTCTTAACTTAAGTTCTATGTACCTAGCTCCATAAGAACACATAGAATTAAACAATAGAGATGAAATTGACTTTCCGTGACATTAGGTTACGCCAGTGGACCTCTATAGTAGGTTTTTCATAAAGCGTCAGTAAAGAACGTTTTTATCAATGATGTTCTCAGATGATTTCTGAGCACCTCAATCGTAGTCTCACCCCTAAGTCAGTTAAATTAATAATCTCCGTTGTGACATAAGACTAAGATTTCAGCAGGAGCAATTCTCTTTTTAACGATTTCATTTTCGTTGCTGTACAATCGTGTATATTTAAATATGTGTTGGTGTGATAATATTGGTTTATTTCATTATTCATTATAAATTATTTAAATTAATCATTCACTCTGACCTTCACCTGTCTAATGCTCTCCCCTATGAACATAGACTATGCACGAAACGTCCACCTAGAAATGAAGTAGAATTAAAAAGTCTAGGAAAAAGATCAGCTATACCAATGCATGCAATAGACAGCGGACATAAGATTGATTTCGACAATGTCGAATTTCTTGAAAGAGGATTTCATTCACATAAAGATAGATTGACTTCGGAAGCCTTGCACATTTTAACCACATCAAATGCAGTGAATAGCAAAGAAGGGATAGACTTATCACCTCTATATGGCAAACTCTTATGAAGCAAGACAAATGAAAAAAACAACAAACACTTCAGGAGCCTCCATGACCTTTTAAAAAATGTAGTATCAATATTGAATTGAATTTTTGATTTTCCCATCGATTGATTGGACCGAAGTGCTCGGTCTCAGGTTGACATGTCGGCTTCTTGTGTAGATGCTTCGACGATGTCTGGGGATTTGATTTGTATACAATTGGTGGATGGTGGCTAGCAGTGGAATCCAGGATGCGAATAATCCAGGACGAAATGCGCATCCTGGATTCCACTGCTAGCCACCATCCACCAATCGCATACAAATGTAGTATCATGTTTATCACATATGAATTCACGTATTTTCCTTATGACAAATAACATACATACACACACACACTCATACAAAACTAATCTTTACAAGTCAACTATAGAAGAGTGAACACAACAACAATTTGACATTAGTTATTACAAATATGTGTGGTGACTGCTCACATATTTCTATTGGTAGAAGTGTCCATGGACGAATGACCTTCAAATAAACTGACTTCAGTTTATGTAAAACATTTTTGACTACATATATTTTGACGATTATTAAAAATCCAAATAAATCTGCTGAAGAAGCTGCGGCTTACACAGCGAAACGTTCAGAAAAAAGATCTTGTTCCGATTTTCTTCACACGCTGGGGTTAGTTTAAATAATTTACAATGAATCAATCTGACTTGGCGCTCAAATTATTCCAGGAAGCTCGTAACACCTACGGTCTGGAAACTTATAATCTTATATTATTATTATTATTATTATTATCCCTTGGGGTCTGAGTGGAACATATAGCTTCAACAACACATCTCCACTTTGTTCTACTTTCTGCTGTCCTACTGACCTGGGTCCATGATTGCTTATAATCCCTCTTCTCCGTCACATCACCCTCGCACCGATGAAGCACTGGTCGTTCCCCATTCGGGTTTCACTCGAGAGATGACCTGTATTACGCGCTATGTCATTGGACCGCCTCGTCAGTGGCTTATCCTCAATGCATCTGCATTTTGCTTGTTCTTGGTCATCTTATTCCCTTGGCTTCTTGTTGATTATTCTTTCTCATCAGCCATGTGATCTTCAGTATAGAGCCAACGAAGGCAGGCGTTGATAAAAGTCTGTGGCTGCCTTTTTGGAAATGCTTGTCGTGACGCGCACACGTGAGTGTCAGACTCGTATAGAAGAAGTGACTGATTGATTTCACATTTGTGCTGACATTAGAACCTGAATCTTGTTCTTTGTGTTGGCTGAGTGAATGAAGCGGAAAATTTCCAAACTGGTTTCAGGGTTGATGAAGGCGTCTGTTGCCTTTCCGATTCTGGCTGGCTAACTGGCTTTAACATCTTCATCCGTTCCAGCTGCCTTTTGGTTGAAATGATGTTTTCTAGATAAGTGAAGGAATTATTTTTTTTCTCCGTCAGATTTCTCCTGCTGATAGTGACTGGTTCAACTAGGTCGAGATGTGCATCCTAGATGCCACACTGTAAGTCAACATCCACCGAATAACAAATATTACTCACCTCGTGTATCCGAATAATTCTAGAATTTTCTTTAAACATCTATCAACTACTTAAATACTGAAAAAGTAGCATCACACTTTATGTAAACCTTACTTCAATATACATATGTCCAAGCCAAGTTCACTTTTAAGAGTTTGAAAAAATTTGGGCATTGATTATAAGATATTCATTATAATAATGAAGGTTTTTGTATTTCCCAATGACGTTTCGCTATTTAATGCTGCTGCTAATAGCTTTATCAATGTATTATTAAACCGGAATTTACAAAATCCACTCAGCTTATATATAACAAACAGTTAAGGGGTGAGAAAATAGACTACTTAGGTCAAGTTAAAAGGCAGCCATATTGAAAGTCAAAGTGACAATGGAGATCACTAAACCAAATATCAAAGGTAATAGTACGTCTGTTATGATATCATCAAAACAAAGTTTACTAACTTGGTCATCGTTCTTCAGTCTGTGGTCATTTTTGGTTGTCAGGCTGGTCAACTGGTAGAGACAACAAAACCAAGTGTAGATTGTTGGATATGATCAGTGTGTAAAATCATAAAAGCAGCGTGTGTTTACATAGTGAAATTTGCTTATCACATTCGTGTTGAGTTTGTCACTTTATAGGGGGGGGGAGGGAGGTGTTGTAACCAGGTCAGATTCTGTTTTAGTCCATCATTCCTATTCAGCTCAGATAATTTGGATTCCATTTGATATGAATGGCTGGCTTCTGATATTAGACGTTTTTTATGATTTCTGAAATCGTTTTTCTGGGTTATTTCAATATTGTCAAAATCAATTTTGTGTGGCCTGATTCTGTAGCATGTAGACCTATGGCTGATGATTTTTCAGGCTCTACGGCGTTCATTTCTTTTGATTTTGATTTCTCGAGATGTTTGTTCAATGTATGTTGCGTCACATTCCAACCAAGCATTTTATCTTATCGACACAATTAGATAGAGAATCTTTAGGGATTGGGTGTTTTATATGGACAATTTGTTTCGTAGTGTGTTTGATGTTTTGTAGAAAACTCTGATGTTGTGCTTATTATTTAGTACTCTTCTTATATCATCTGACGTTTCTGATCTATGTGGAGTGACAACTAATAAGGCCGTTGTCTCCAGAATACACTTTCGACCATATTTAATGTCATTGTTGATTTTGTTCATGAAGTTATTTGGGTAGTAATTTTTCTTGACAGTCTCAGTAATGTTTGATATTTCTTCTTCTTTTGCTTTCTCATCCGTTGACATCAAAGAGTGTGCTCGTCTGAAAAGACTTGAAACAACTGATACCTTTGCGCCGATGGGGTGTGATGATTTGAAGTGTAAATATTTATTGGAGTGGGTTTTCTTCCTGAATATGGATATACTAAAATGTCAGTTTTCCTTCCCCTTAACTAGGCTGTCTAGAAATGTTAATTCACTGATGCCTGATTCTACTTTCAAAGTGAACAGGATTCTGGGAGATACACAGTTTATTTTCTCCAGGAATGAATTGTGTAGATCTTGTTTTAGCACTACAAAAGTATCATCTACATATCTTAATCATTATATATTTCACTTTAATTTCTCAAAATGTATTTCTTTATCTCACTATCCGTTTTCCTAGGTTGTATTCAATGTACAGAAATTTGTTCTCCGCTTCTTTCTATGCCATTTGGCTGTAGCCAATCTTTGCCAGTGGTTGAAGACAATTGTTGATGAAATCGGTAGTGAACCATCACATGAGGGTGGAGGAGGAGGAGCAGGAGCAGCTGGTGGCGGCGGAGTCTCTGCAGGCGGAGAAGGTGGAGAGTCGAATCGAACAAGTCATGAATTTGCTTTGCCGATTGAATATTTTCTAGAACCTCAAGCTGATTCAGATACAAATTTACACGAATATTCACATGGTGCAAGTTCACCAAGTTTTAATTTAACTAATCTGGCCAATATGGTATTGTCAGATGGGAAGAAAACAACGTCTAGTGTGTCACCACTGCATTTGGATCATGGGAGCTCGACTATGCAAACTGCAGGTGTAGCAGGCAAGTTTTTTTTACCCAGCTATCCACTTTTTACATTGTAGGGCTGGAGCAGTACCTTTAGTGATTTTTATAAATATGTTGTTTATTTTATGCCAAGAATTGAAAACTTTACCCTCGAAAAAGATGATTTAAGATTATAAAAGATTTTGGTAAAACCAAACTTGTATCAAAATCGGATTCGAATAATCTGGTGACTGAACGATAGTTACATCAAATAACTGATCACGTTAACCGCTTCACTTGTTTGAGAGGTACCATCAGCCAACGCCAACGCGTTGATCTCTGACGAAATCTCAGCACGGATACAGAGGGCTAGTTTTGCATATGCCAGTTTACGCCGTTTCTGATATCCGGCTATCGAGCAAAGAGCGGGTGTACTGTTCAGTAGTCCACTCAGTCCTCCTTTATGGCTACGACTGAGACATGACCATTGAGAGTGGAAGACGTGAAAAGGTTGGCTAGCTGTGTGTCTTTGATCATGGGTGCCTGCGCTCTATCTTCCGTGTGAAGTGGTATAATAAGGTGAGCAATATTGAGATTAGGTGTCGATCGAGTGCTAGGTAAGGAGGGGAAATCAATCGACGAGGCTGTGAAATTACATCGACTGAGATGGTTAGGACATGTGTTACGTATGCCTAGTCATCGCCTTCCTCAACGGGCAATCTTAGCTGACACAAGGTCAGGCTGGAAAAGATGAGCTGGCGGTGGTCAAACCAAAACATGGCACTAGTCAATGAAATCTACAACAGTTAGTTTAAGCCAGCCATGTAGGAAGGTGTAGACTTCCTGGTTGGGGTCGTCGGAACGGTAAAACCAATGGCCGGAAACAACTGGTGATATAGCTGGCTCAAAGTCGTTCTCAATGGCTGGTGCAGATGCATCCACTCCTTGTGACATATGATTTCCAATGAAAATATATTATTCTTCGTTATTACTATTCCTTTGTCTCACACCTCTGTTTACTGTCTCTATTATGCATTTCTTCTACTTTCTTCTCTTGCTTTGTGTGCTATATGGAGGCAGGGTGGCAACTAGAAATGCCACATATCTGTGCAAAGTTCTATGTCAAAAACAGACAGACAGACAGGATCATTGAGTGGGCGAATAGTATATGGACTCAACTACTTTTTATAGAATTTTATGGTATATTTTGGCAGAGTTAAACTAGAATGTCTCAAAGGATGAGAACTCACAAGTGAGCATGAGCAGGCCAATCACAAAACAATCATAAATACAGTGCTGAACATAGGGCTTCAATCTAAAGTTCTAAAGATTTCATAAGAGTGGTATTTTTTTACGGGATGGGGCTGTTAGCCTCATGCTCAACCTTCTCTCTCTGCCACGTACAATAAGGGCTATGTGAGGTGAAGGGAGGAGTGTGTCGGCTGGAAATCAAACGCCGAGATTACTTACGTGGTGGGCCAATGTTCTACCACTAAACCACCAAGGCTGTCTTTCTTCATTATGGCTTCCTTAAAAAAACACTGGGGAAATTTGTATTACATTTTTTACACTGAAACGTGTAGGACTATGCGCAGAGGTTAGAAGCGCGGTCAACACTTTCCATATATACAAAGCAAAATTCAGGCAGTTGACAAATAAGTGACATCCGAAACAAACTCGAAGAATTTCGTGTGAACACAGAGAGGAGACAGTGGCGATGAAGATGCCCAACTGAAAAATAACAAGCATGAAATAACCACCAACAAGATAAATCTAAGTTACAGAGTACTTGAAAAGTCGGTGTGAAGAGATTTACGCCAGTCACTTTAAGAAATAGGTTACGAATTTCGAAGGACAGTGTCAATTCACGAAAAGTATTTCCAGCCGGTTTGAAACCTTTATCAAGATCAGATGGCCAGTTAGATAGGATGAGTAGTGAGGAAATCAATTGATCAACAGCTGTACAAGAAGAAAATAAAGTTGATTGTACACATGTTGATAGGCATTCAGACCATTGAGTGTATCCCATATATGCGAAGTGGCGAGCTAGACGTAGGTCGATCGATGTATTTGAGGAAGTTATTTGTAGAAGAAGAAATAGAAAGCGTAAACGCAGTAAGATTATGGTGAGAGCTGGCTGCTAGCCAAATCGGTAGACAGTAATTTACGTCAATGTTTACGCCACCAATATTGGTCGTGAGAAAAATGAGAACAACAAACAACCATAGCATGCAGACTTTGCGTACGCGGATACAATTAGCAGGTAGATGATCTGAACTTCAAGAGACAGTCACAAAGAGATGAAAGATTAACTTTCAGCGAGAAACAGCCAATTAGAAGACTTTGTTTTTTTGCTAACAATAATTTATAATAATGTATGTGAAAATGTACAAATATGTGTTGATTTCCTTAGTAGACAATCTGTTCCCTGTCCCTTGTCTTGTGTTGTTACATTATGGCCATGGGAAAACGATGGTGCAGATGCAATCGTTCTGTGCGTTAATAAGGTGGTATGTTCCATATGAATCTCAAGGAAGTATCGAAAAAAATTTTTAGCGAAAAGCTAAAAGTGGAATCCTTCACTGCTATCGTGGCTAGTCTTAACTTCCATGTGACATTGTAATCTGCATAATGAATACACGTCTTATGATTTAGACAATTTCACGGATAATTAACAAAACATGTAAAGCAAAAAATAATTGATCAAAGAATATCCTTTACGATAAATTTCCTCCTCTTCTGGCTCTACAATTATACACTGTGTTTATATACATAGAATATTCTAGATTAATAGTCAATAACAGTTTCACTGTTTTTAAATAATAGCGATTTGTTAAGTAAGACCACAGTGGAGTTACATTTCATTAAAGGTGCTTAAATTATGATAATAATATTAATAAAGATATAATAGGAAATAGAATATCAGAAAATTAAGGAAATTCCACAAACATTCAGGATCATTCAAACCTAGATGGTCACCCAGTAAGGATAATGTCTGAACTAACTTATTTTGGATGTACACATTATGCTTGTTAGCATGGATCCCAACAGCCAACCTCAGCAATATTTAGCAAACGAACTCTTAAGGCAAAATTGAGATTAAGGATTTCATCATGAGCTGACATTAGTTAGAGAACCATTGGAAACCCACCTAGGAGTACTGCGCAGCTGTCTTGTCCTAGGTTGGGACTCTTCAGAAGTACACACCCACCGGGACTCGAACCCAGGACCTTCCGGTTACAAGGCGAGCTCGTATACCATTCAGCCACTGGGACCGATCCAATGGTCCTTGAATCCCAACTTCTGCCAATCCACGACATAGCGCGACCGCTAGCCAATGTCTTCGGCGAGTATTTGTCCTCACACCCGACCCTCTGCACCCTACTGGTCACGACTTCCTTGAGATTCGTAGGTATGCGGTAAATGACCCTGAAAGCATGGTTAACGTCAATCTTGTGATGTGTATCCACAAGATGAGGTAGAATAGCACTGCGGATAGATTTTGTTTTTCATTTGCTTAACCACAATGCAGGGTGATGTTCGGAAATTCGACGAGAAACACGCCTAATTTTATGGCCTATGTAACTGGCTCATTCCACAGGAGCAGTTGAATTGGTAGATACACATAGAAGAGGCGAAGTTAGAAAGTTTGTCTTTTACTCCCAAACGCAAAAGAGGAGTGGGTGGTTTTGAAGACAGCGCAATTCGGCAGCAGGGAATGCTCTTCGCTTTACCGCATTTCTAAGTCGCTGTGTTAGTATCTCGCTGTTGTTGTCCCCGAGGAACTGCATTTGTAAGAATAGGGCCTATTTTAGAACCATTGGTAACTTGGGCTGCTTTGGTTTTAAATTCATATTCTTATCAATAAACTTTTCTGGATAACCATTTTCACTCAGCAACCGTTTAATATTATTAGGATCCTCGTCAAGACATTCATCCGAGCAAAATGCTCTTGCTCTGTCAATCAAACACTTTATCAGATTGCATTTGTATCTCAAGGGCACGAAGCTGGGAAAATGAGTCAACTGACCCGTTGATGTAGGTTTTCTATATACACTTCTTCTTATTGGGCCACCTTCTTCACTGGTCATAAGGACGTATATAAACGCAGAAATTGTAAACACTAATATATGGCCACTAATGACAGGCGTGAAGTTATATGTCTAGATGTAATAATAATAATTATGACGATGCAATGGGCAACTCAGCTGAGATATTCTAGGTACAGTCTTTCGTCCTTTAGCACCTTCTGCTTCACTGAGCCATGTAAGTATCAAAAGACAAAAACTGGCCTTTGACTGTTAGGATACAAACACATTGGGGAAAGGAGCACGCCGTACTTATATATATAATATATATATATATATATATATGACTACGATCAAGTTCGGCTACGTTAGTGGGAAAGAGATTTTTCAGTTCAATGGAGATATATCTGTGGAAACACTAAAAAATCGACTGTCGCGCTCACTTAAGAAGACCTTCTTCGCAGCTAAACTACGACTAACCTTCTTCAAAAAACCTATGATTCATGTAAACGTGACGGATAAGCTACCACTACTGGCCTCACCAATGTGTATTTATCAATCCACCTGCTTGTGTGGAACCAGGTATGTCGGCCATATCCAGCGTTCGCTTTCCTAGCGTATCACCGAACACTTACCAACATGGTTTTACAAAGGAGAAAAACGATGTCCCGCAGCTCCATCTTAGAACATCTGATAGAATTCGGACACCAAGCTGACCCCAAACAAACTTCAAAGTAGTCTACAGAGTAAGAAGTAGTCTTCCTAAAGGTGTACGAATCAAACTTCTTCAAACTGCAGAAGCGATGGCGATTCACTTGATAAGCTCTGATCTCCGCATACAGAAGTTCGTTCAATCACTACACTTGCAATGGACTTTTTTTTCCTTCACGTTCCCAGTGGAAAATAGGGGGCTTCAAGCTAGAAGCTTGAAGTTTCTGTAGCTGTGTTTATGTCAGAGGATGGGGTTGCTAGCCTCACGCCCAACCTTTCCTCTTTGCCAGCATTATTTCTGGCTTAGCTAGGTAAAGGAGTGCGTTGGTGGCCGGGGATCGATCTCCGGACCATGTACATGGTCAGCGAGCATCCTAACCTCTATGCCAGCGATGCACTGCAATACACTTAATCTATCTTATTACCCGACAAGTAAATTCTACCTAATCTTTCTTCTTCTGTCTCTTCATTAGTATTATTTTGTCTTCTCAATTGTAATATTTTACACTTTCAACTTTCTGTTCTCTACCCGTACTCGATTGAATTCCTACACCTCACTACCACTGTTACTGACTTGACCAACGCTCAGTTTCTTGTCATTTACGTTAAGTCATCCAAATTAATTGCTCAATTTCAGTTCTAATTTAAATGCCACTAGGCATTCTCTACTCCACTTCTACTTAGTCTCTACCTGTCATTACCTCTGTTGCTACCCTGACTTAAGTTGAAACATTTCAGTCAACTGTATTACGTCATCTAACTTACTAACTCAATCTCACTTTGGTTGCTGTCTGATTAACCATGTTTCTATACTAGATCATTCTTGTATTACCTGATTAATTATCTAAACTTGACAAATCTCATGTACACACACACGGATAATCGTACATAAATGCGATTGTACAGCTAGCCATGTGAATGAATTCGCCGTCGAAAAGAGTCAGTCTCTCCGCTGAACGTCTTCTCTTTTTTTTAATATGACTCAATGGGGATTTTCAAGCTACTCAAAGATTTTTCTGACTGATAGGGGGATTCACTTAGCTTCATGGAAAATAAGTACTCTGAATAGTTGATGATTGGTCTAGGAGCAAGGTACGAAAGAGATGGTAAGATTTAACAGTCGTCAGATTTTGGAAGACAAATCCTAGTGATGATGATGATTAGTATGTGTAGCCACTTCTTCTTCACAGGTATAACAGGTATTTGGGGACAATGTTGCAACCAAGATTATTTCCCACGTTGAATATAGGGATAAAATCAAAGTTAAGAACTTTAACTGATGTTCAATATCCATCATAATACGAATTTAATTTCCAAACCAACACTTAAATACCAATGGGATGCTCACTGGCGACTGGCCCTATTCAGGTAGGTAGTTACCTGGGTTCCAGTGGGAAGTCGTGACCAGCAGGGTGCAGCCGGTCGGGTGTGAGGACAAATACTCGCCGAAGACATTGGCTAGCGGTCGCGCTATGTCGTGAATTGGCAGAAGTTGGAATTCAAGGACCATTGGATCGGGTCCCAGTGGCTGAATGGTATACGAGCTCGCCTTGTAACCGGAAGGTCCTGGGTTCGAATCCCAGTGGGTGCGTACAGGTGAAGAGTCCCAAACTAGGACGAAACAGCTGTCCAGTACTCCCAGCTTGTTTTCCAATGGTTCTCTAACTAATGTCAGCTCATGATGAAATCCTGAAATCAATCAAATCTCTACAAACCAACACTTAAATGTAATTTCCATTAATTTAAAATCATTTTACTACCCTTTGGGATGCAATCACTCTTTCACTTTCACCGAAAATAACTCATTGAAAATTCTAATTCTTAAAATTTCTTGGCTGCTTCATATTCGTTTGTATTCCACGATTTTGGCTGACCTGTTTTATTTTGGCTGAGTAACACTCTTCATTTGACTGTGTAGTCGACACCACCTTTGTGTGAATTACCCTAAAATTTCAGAGCATTCTTCTATTTACACTATACAAAACTATATCTATTTTGGTCATAATCGTTCCAGACACTCTTCCTGTGTGTGCGTGTGTGTGACTTTATCCTCGTCTTCTTTTTCGGTGTGCAATTCCATTTTTCCTGGATTGAGCTGGCCATCCAAATTCATTATTATTAATGTTGTTATCATTATCAGGATTTCATCATGAGCTGACATCAGTTAGAGAACCATTGGACAACCAACTGGGAGCACTAGACAGCTGTTTCGTCCAGCTAGTTTTGGAATCTTCAGTAGTAGGCCCACCTCCATATTTCGAACTCAAGACGTTCTGGTTACAAGGCGAGCTATCTCGTACACCATTAAGCCACTCACTGGAACCCAATCCAATGGCCAACCCATGAATTCAAACTTCTGACGATTCACGACATAGCCACTGGCGAGCACTTGTCTTCACACACGACCTTCTGCACCCTAGTGGTCACGACTTCCCACTTGAACCCCTACCTACCTGGGAAGGCTCAGTTGGCCGTGAACATCTCATTGATATTTAAGTATTGGTTTGTAGGGATTTGGTTCATGAAATCATAATGAAATTCTGTAACTAATCAACCAAATCCCTACAAACCAACACTTCAATATTAGTGTTGCATTGGGTTCCAAGTGGAAGTTAAGGCTTTAGCAACATATATCCGATCCACTCTGTCCTTCACTGCCTCGACAATTGAGCACACACTTTCATTCTCTCCTCAAATGATCTCATCCACACCACCCTCAGAGATACATCTTACTTGTCAGTCTCATTATAATTCCACTCGACGGTCTGTGTGGCGCGTGTTAATATTCGACAATTGTTATTGGATGGATGGTTAGGGTTAATCGATGGGGAACTTTCAACCTAGGTCTCCTGCTTGCTAGCACTTGTTAGCAGGATGTGTAACTTCAGCCTTGAAGGAACTCATGCCCCTTCTGAGAAGGTTTGAACCTGCGTCATCCAGTACTGCAATCAAAGACGTTACCAGTCAACTAGTCGACCTCGCTACCAACCACTCATAGCTCTCTCTCTCTATTAGATACTTTGATCGGACGCTAGTTCGTAAATAGTGTAATGTTTCTAATTCTTGTGGCTAAGCGGTAGAATGTGGTTCAGGGTGTAATCCCCGGTCGAAGTGCTCAAAATCCTCCTTAAGCCGGTAATAAGGACGCTAAAGACTAGTAACCCCGCTATGTAAATGAAACACCCTGCTACCGAAACTTCAAAGCTCTACCTTGAAGCCGTATGTTCCAATGGGAACGTAAAAGAATAAAATAAATAAATTTTCAAGTATTGGTTTCGTAGGGATTTTGTTTGATTGAATGGAGGGTTTTATCATGAGGTGACATCAGTTAGAGAACCACTGGAAAACCAGGGTGTATTGGACAGCTGTTAAGTCAGCCTAGTTTGGGACTCTTCATCAGTATGTACCCCGTTGTTTTAATGAGATACCAGCTCGCCTGTTGGTGACTGGAAGGTCCTGGGTTGGAACCTTGGCGGTGGGTGCGTCAGTACTGATGAAGAGTTGAAAACTAGGGCTTACGAAACAGTTGGCTGTTTAATACTCCCAGGTTTCCCAATAAAAATAAATCCAGGAAAATAATAATTCTTCTTTTCGCCTTTCCTTCTCTTTTGAACATTCCATACAGCTTGTGGTTCGACAGTGAAAAAACTCGCCCCCTTTTTATTTCCATGTGCTATTGAATACAGTCTAATTGCTGGTGCTATCTTCTATAAAATGTTCGAGAAAGTTGGACATGTACGCAAGGAATCAGAACGTTTGGAGAAATTGCGTAAGGCCAATTTGAAGACAAAACAATTCTCTGAATGTCATCGTTCGCATAAAGGATTATTTGTTGGCCTGCTAATATTTATGGCTACACTAGTTGCTATGAGCCTATTCTTTATATTCATTGTTAAAAATGAAACAAAGAATACAGCGATCACATTGTATCAAGGCACAGAATTAGTACTGCTGTCTGTTAGTACAATCACATGTATTATCAGTCTGTTTCGTTTAAGAGCACTGAAGTTAAGTGATTTGTCCGAAGAAGTGGCATTCGATGATAACTTACTGTTAATTGGTTTAGTTGGAATGTTATTCTACGATTTATTTCTACTTGTGCCTGCTTTGGAGGCTATACCGAATGGTGCGATTGCAGCAAAATTGTACACAGCTAAATCTATACTTGAAATGATACAGTCTATGTTACAGGTGAGTGACTGATGAGTACGCCTCACATATATATTTTTTTTCAAGGGTTGATTTGTAAGGTAATATTAACTGATGACCAAGCTTCGAGCACAAACTATTGCTCATAATGATATCAAGGCATTACTCACTCACACAGCTTTCTTGCTTCATTTATATATATATGTATATATATATGTGGAATAGATTAGATATTGGAATAAAAATCAATATGGGATAATGTACATTCAGAAATAACAATATGAGTGTTATTGATCAATTACAATTAGACGGGGAAATAAGACGAGTGTTTTGATAGTCATAATAAGTAACTTGTTAGAATGTTGTGATGTGCTTGAATTGAAATAGAATTTTAAGAATATTTATTATCCTCTACTGATTTGAATGACCGGAGGTAATAATATCTTCCATACATATCTCTGGTATTTGCGTTGAGTCATTTCGGTTGCATTTGTTGAGTGTACACTGGATGAACCAGGATTCAGAAATCAATCTCTCTCGCTCTCCACCTATATAGATTGCACCTCACAAAATTCTAACAAATTACTTATTATGACTATAAAAACACTCGTCATATTTCCCATCTGATTGTAATTGATTAATAACACTCATATTGTTATTTCTGAATGCACATTATCCTATATTGATTTTTATTCCAATATCTAATCGATTCCACAAATGTGCATCAGTGGCGCAGTGGTTACGACTCTCGCCGACCATGCATATGGTCCGGGGTTCGATCCCCTGCCGACGAACATCTGATATCTATGGTCGGCCTGCAAAATTTGGGCTACCGACATCACATGTTGAAAATTTCATACCTGTACCAAAAAGTACGGTGTGGAATCAAGCTGTAATAAAAAAAGTGAAGGGAAAAAGTTGTGTGAGTGAGTGCCTTGATATAATTATGAGCAATAGTTTGTGCTCGAAACATGGTCATCAGTTAATATTACTGTATAACACTGTGTGACTTATCCAAATAAAAATTTATCCATAATGGAGTTATTCTCTACCACCACAGTGCCCAAGTTTTATACTTATATTGATTTGTAAGGATTTGATTTGTTTTTTTACAAGTTTGACAACGGATTGATATCAATCAGTCAGGGAACTTTTTAAAACCACTAGGAAGTACTAGATAGCTGTTTTTCATCCTAGTTTCAGAATAATAGGCAGTACGCACCTACCAAACTTGTAAGGGTTCAAACCCAGGGCCTTCCGGTTACAAGACAGGCTAGCCCGTATACTACTTAACTAGCAGGACCCAATTGAATGGCTTGCCCATGAATTCTAACTTCTAACAACTCTGTGTATTTAGCCCGACCATCAGTCAACTATATTCCAGTATTAACTCCTATGGCCGGCCTTCTGATATTGAGTATTGAGCGAAAGCAGCTGTTGATGTGTTCTTTATGACGCGCCAAGTCTGCGATCCGTATGGCAAGAAATACTGACACCACATTGGAGCTAAAAATCCGGATCTGATATTCGTTTACATGCTGGGCTGGGCTGTTGACTTCCACACAGACTAGAGAGTAATGAAAGCTTGTCTTGCTTTCTCGATCCTCGTTGCTTTGATATCCTCGTCAGTTCCGTTCGCCTGTAGTTGAAACGATCCTTCGCAGGTAGGTAGGTAGAGGAGGTGTTTTCTTTTAGGTTCCTCTCATTTATGCTGATTGTTGTTGTTGTTGGCTAGAAATCTTCATCACCTCTGTTTTCTGTGTGTTCACCTGGGTCATATCTTTGATATTTCTTTTGTCAACCTGTTGCTTTTCACTTGCATATCTTCCCGTTTGTGGGAAATCAGACATATATCGTCGGTGAAGTCCAGATCCTCCAGGTGTTTTGTGTGTGTCCATTTTATGCCTGTCTCGTCGTTACTCTCACTTGTCTGTCGCATTATCCAACCTACCGAAATCAGGAAAATCATTGCAGATAGTAGGCAGCCAAACAGCCTTGTCTTTCTCCCGTCTTCACTTTGTAGGCTTCCGTGAGATTCACATTCTGGATTAATTGGCATACAGGACTGTGATACAACTGTTGGATGAGGTGTATAATTGTTGGCGGCACCATGCAGTTGTGAAGTGGTTGCCAAATCACATCTCGATCGACGCTGTCTGTTGAAGGCCTTTACAAAGTCAATGAAGTTGAATGAGGTGGAGAGGTGACTGCCATTCCAAGCTCTGTTCAATGATAATCCATCGTGTTGCAATTTGATCAATGCATGACTTGTTTCTCCTGAATCCAGCTTGTTCCAGTCAAAGTTTTTCATCCAGGTTGGCGTGTTTGATTCTCCCCAGGATGATGCGGCTTAGTTTTTTGCTTTGGATGTCCAGGAGCATAATTCCGCGCCAGTTCTTGGCTTGACTTAAGTCTCCTTTCTTTGGTAGTCTGAATAAGTATCCTTTCTTCCAATCCTCGGGTACTTTGCCCTCTTACCACACCTTCTCTAGCAATGGCGTCATCAAGTCCGCTGTTGTCTTTGGATCCATTTCCAATGCTTCCGCTGGGATTCCATCTGGTCCTGCTGCTTTCCCAGCTTTTGGTATCTTCATTGCATTCAGGACTTCTGATTTCGTTGGGGGTCAGTGTTCACTGGTAGTTCTGCTTCCGCTGTTGGTATTATTAGGCGCGTTGCAGGTGACGGTCGATTTAGAAGTCTTTTAAAGTGTTCAGCCTCTAAATTGATTTAAGCGAATTGCAATTGCTGTGCTGTTTGCAGTATTCACTATTTAGAGGCCTTTAGCAATTTATTCTTTATTTGACAGATGACAGAAAAGAATCTTCGCTGCTAGCCTTATGGCCTGTGACCTAATATAGAACTATAGGTAGTTTTAACTACAGCACTCTTTATCTATGAGACATTCATCTATTGTGAAAATAATTTGTTCACAAATGAACAATAATATCTCAGTTCAGTAGATTTAATTCACGTTTAATCACGGATTGGTATCAATTAGAGAACCTTTGCAAACCAACCACCAGGGATTACTGGACAGTTTTTGCCTCCTAGTTTGGAACCCAGCGGCGCTACGCACACACCACCAGGGTTGGAACCCAAGACCTTCCTATTACAAGGCAATCCCATTGACCTTTCAGCAACTGGGATCCAAAACAATGGTCAGCTCATGATTTCTGATTTTGGTACGACAACCATCCACTAATATCGGTGAGTATTTATCCTCACACACCCCCTCCCCTCCTGCCATCTAGCTGATCCCACTGATCAATACTTTCCACTAAACCTACTGGCAAATCCGATGGTTGCATATTGGCGATAATCACCAAAAGGTTCTGCACTCTTTGGGTGGTTTTCAGTGGTTTTCTATAAATGATGTCAATTTGTGTTCCAGTCTCAGCAAATTTTTAATTAAGCTGTTAAATTCACGGGTGAAGAAGGGTTACAGAGTGAAACTGTCACTATTACTACTTCTACTGCTATAACGACAGAAGGCAAGGGATAGGCAATAGATTCTTTATTGAGAAAATCGACAGACATTTAAAGATTCTTATGTATATTATTGTCAGCGGAGAAACAACGTACTCTGATTGGTCGATTTCACTCTGAAGGTTATTATTCAATGCTTCTAACTGTTTCTCAGAATGTTAAGCCATATATATATATCTGAGAATCGTATGAATATCCGCGGGATTTCATCAAAATAAAAAATATACCCCCAAGACAACATATCAAACCAAAAGACCCAGCCAAGGAAACCACAAAGAAAATCGCCTTACCATATGTATAAAGGAAATCTCAGAAATCACTACAAGACTCTTCAAACCTTAATAAGGAGTTGACGTCTCACACAAACCAACAAAGTCACTTCACTCAACTGCCTCTCTGTCAACCAAAAGAGCCAACGGCGAAAGAAGGTAAAGCTAACATCATCTGCAAAATAAATTGTAACAGCTGAGAAAAACACTACATTGGCCAAAGTGGACCCCTTCCTCTTCGTATTCGTATCCACCAACATAAGCTAGCCGTCAAAAGACAACGTGACATCCACTCCATCACTCATATCGCCTCACTGCATACAAACAACCACGGACATCAATTCGACTGGGACAACCAGTGTTCAAATATTAGACAGAGGAAAAACACCAAGAATGCCAGCCAGAGAATTTTTAGAAGCCTGCCTCGTATTCCAGGGAATCATCAATCAATAGACACATCGAATTAGACAAAATTTACTACCGACCGATAAGAAAGAAACCTCACACACACACAAAGGATCAAAGTTCAAGTCAAAGAAACAATCAGTTCCAATACAAGTAGCAGTCTAGAAGGTGTGATAACACACACACACAAAGGCAACCAATCACTTCCAAGGTCAGCGACCAGAAGAGATGATTAATAGTAAACTCGTGGAGAAATCTAAAGCTCACTTCATCGAATTGAAGTGTATGTGCTGAAGATGTTGCCTAGTAGAGGGGGGGGATGAAAGCTTAGCAAATTACTAACTGTCCAGCTCAGAGAACACAACCACATCAAAATCATCCACCTGAGCTACAAATTTTCTCTATCATATCTAAATGATATTTGTACACGGTAAGTCTGCTGTGATTGGCTGGTGAGTTCCTCAAGATTAAGCTGTGATAATGTGTTTATTTTCCCATGACCTCGATTCGGGTCTAGGGGTAAATTACTGTCTACAATTTTTTTGCCTTTTTAGCCTCCAGCTCTCACCACGCGCTTACTTATCTTCTCCCTCTCTCTCTCTCCCATTTCTTTTAACTGTCTACAGGTATTTTTCATCCTTGAAGCATCAAGACGTTGTGCTGGTACACTAGAACATGTACAAAATAAACCAGGCCGTACAATGATTACATTTTTATTAGTTTTAAATTTAGCTATGTGGTTTGTGAATACTTTTGAAGTGAAACGTGCTGATAATCATAGTATCCATATTAATTATTATTCATCTATGGCATGGAGAATTATTACGCATATTGCTCTCCCGTTGATTGTATTCTTTCGTTTTCATTCAACTGTCTGCCTATCCGATATCTGGGCAAATGCTTATCGTTTTAGAACAGAATAAGAATAATGCACTAGATAACGTTTGAATTGGATTCTGCCTTGTTATATGCATGCATACACGTATATATTATTCATCACCTTCTCATGTCTGTTTTTTCCCCTTCTCCTTCTTCGTCTCGTTGTCAATACACCGCTTTCTCTCCCCTTCTTGTTGTCTATTCTTCTTGAGATACAGAGTGACACAGGAAAGAAGGATAGATGGATGGATGAGACGACTTCAGCAGGTTAAGTGTAGTGTAGTGTGGAGTAGAATAGACAAGTTGATGGGAAGGTCAGGGAACTGAATAACATATGTGTAAAAATTGATCACTGTGGTGGCAGTAAGTAATTCCATATTAGTTTTTTTTAATAGATGTATCACACAGTGAGTGAAACAGTATTATCATTTACTGGATGACACAGTTTCGAACACAATTTGTCACTGTTCATAATCATCTCATCAACTGTATCACACGACTTCGAAATTGAGTTTTTTTTAGTTTTCTTTGTCCTCTCCTATTTGTCGTCGTAGGCGTGGTAGTAGAAATGGTGGAATGTTTAGGTGACAGAGCAAAAAAACTAAGTAGTATCAAGGAAAATCTAAGACAGGAAGTGATACACATAAAAGAAGCCTTGAAACTTAATAATTACCCGGATAAATTAGTCGAGAAATATGTAAGGAAATGTAAAAATAAAATAAGTAATGATAGTAGTGGTAGTGACAATAATGACAATTTCCTACAGTTTGGTTTGTAAGGGTTAGTTATGTTTTTACGAGTTGATCACAGATTGATATCAGTTAGAGAACCAATGAAAACCAGCCATAGGGAGTACTGAACAGCTGCTGTTTCATCCTATTTTGGGAATCATCGGAAGTACGCACCCACTGGGATTCGAACCCAGGACCTTCCGGTTACAAGGCAAGCTCGTATACCATTCAGCCACTGGGACCCGATTCAATTGCCAGTCCATGAATTCTAACTTCTACCAATTCGTGATTTAGCGCGACCCCAACCATTCTCGTGACCAACTCGTAAAAACATAACTAATCCTTACAAACCAAACTATAGAAAATTAATCTGATGCTCGCTAGTGACTTACTACAGGTTGGAGTTTCCTGAGTTCTAGTGAGAAGTCGTGGCCAGTGAGGTTCATTTAGATGTCACCTGTTTGGATGGATATCCCACCAACGACATTGGTTGGGGTCGCGCTAAATCACGAATTGGTAGAAGTTAGAATTCATGGACTGGCCATTGAATCGGGTCCAAGTGGCTGAATGGTATACGAGCTTGCCTTGTAACCGGAAGGTCCTGGGTTCGAATCCCAGTGGGTGCGTACTTCCGATGATTCCCAAACTAGGATGAATCAGCAGCTGTCCAGTACTCCCTGGTTTTCAATGGTTCTCTAACTGATATCAATCCGTGATCAACCCGTAAAACATAACTAATCCTTACAACCAAACTATAGAAAGTTAATCTGATGCTCGCTAGTGACTTGCTACAGGTTGGAGTTTCCTGAGTTCTAGTGAGAAGTCGTGACCAGTGAGGTCCAATTAGATGTCACGTGTGTGGATGGATGTCCCACCAACGACAATGGTTGGGGTCGCGCTAAATCACGAATTAGTAGAAGTTAGAATTCACGAGCCATTGAATCGGGTCCCAGTGGCTGAATGGTATACGAGCTTGCCTTGTAACCGGAAGGTCCCGGGTTCGAATCCCAGTGGGTGCGTATTGCCGATGATTCCCAAACTAGGATGAAACAGCAGCTGTCCAGTACTCCCTGGTTTTCAATGGTTCTCTAACTGATATCAATCAGTCATCAACTCGTAAAAATAATAACAATATTAATGACGACACCAAGAATAAAGAATCTAAATCATCAGTAGTAATTCCAGACAAGGAAGAAACCTCGGAAACCACCTTACACAGAATTCCTAACAAGGCAGGCAGGAATAAAGGTGGCTGGCATTCAACCACCCCCCCCTTCACAAACTCAATTAGAAACAAGCCTTTTCCGTTAAAGCATCACCTTTGTGGAGCCTTTAAAACAAAACAATTTAGTTTACCTAATAACCTTCGTGCAATGATTGTCAGGTCAAATACATAGGTCATACTAGTAGAAAAGGTTCAGTGAGTCGGACTAGCCGAAAATAAAAACCTAGCAGTTAAATCTAGATTGGTTTACCTAAATAAGACAAGAAATCTAGAGAATAGTTCAGCTACAGCACTCACTACATGAAATTTTACACAACCATACCATTGTAATGCGATGGGATAGGATGACAGTTTTAAAATCTAATGTCACAGGGTTAATGGGGGAGAGACTGATAACAGCGGAAGCTTTGTTTATCGAATCAACTGAGAGAGAATACATGTAATAGGAATGATTCAACACCTGTCCAGCCAGGTATCTGGAAAAATCTACTACCCCAACGATGACAAATAGGAGAAGACAACGAAAACCGTGAAACTCAGGTTTCGAAGTGGTGTGATTATAACTGATTTGATTATGCACAATAAATTTTGTTCGAAACTGTGTCAACCAGTAAATAATGAATACTGTTTCACTGACTGTGTGATACATCTAATAAGCAAACTAATAGGAAACTGGTATCAGTAAAATAAATAATAAATACCTTTTAGCTAACAATGCAGTTTTCTGAATATATGCCAAAACAGTTATTATCATTATCATCACCATTGTCTTGTTTGTTTATAAGATTTTATGCTCACCTGAATAATAACTAAAACTCCATGGAATGAATGAAGTTTATTTTTGATCTTCAACTTATGACGTTTAATTATCATGGTAGTGTCAGTTAGTAAGAGTGTATATCATTACTTGAATGTGTAGACGAAATATGTAAAAATGATATTGTATATTGTTTTCTTGTGTGTGCAAGTGTGTGTGTGTGTGATCACCCACTAATTTCTGTTATTATCTATTTCTCTGATAAATTTTGATGTGGTTGTGTTCTCTGAGCTAAATAGTTAATTTGCTAAGCTTTCATCCCCCCCCCCTCTACTAGGCAACATCTTCAGCACATTCACTTCAATTCGATGAAGTGAGCTTTAAGATTTCTCCACGAGTTCACCATTAATCATCTCTTCTGGTCGCTGACCTTGGAAGTGATTGGTTGCCTTTGTGTGTGTGTGTTTTAACACCTTCTAGGCTGCTACTTGTATTGGAACTGATTGTTTCTTTGACTTGAACTTTGATCCTTTGTGTGTGTGTGTGTGAGGCTTCTTTCTTATCGGTCGGTAGTAAATTTTGTCTACCTCGATGTGTCTATTGATTGATGATTCCCTGGAATACGAGGCAGGCTTCTAAAAATTCTCTGGTTGGCATTCTTGGTGTTCTTTCCTCTGTCTAATATTTGAACACTGGTTGTCCCAGTCGAATTGATGTCCGTGGTTGTTTGTATGCAGTGAGGCGATATGAGTGATGGAGTGGATGTCACGTTGTCTTTTGACGGCTAGCTTATGTTCGTGGATACGAATACGAAGAGGAAGGGCGTCCACTTTGGCCAATGTAGTGTTTTTCTCAGCTGTTACAATTTATTTTGTAGATGATGTTGGTTTTATCTTCTTTCGTTGTTGATTCTTTCGGTTGAAAGAGAGCTGTCTGAGTGAAGTGACTTTGTTGGTTTGTGTGAGACGTGAACTCCTTATTAAGGTTTGAAGAGTCTTGTAGTGATTTCTGAGATGTCCTTGATACATATGGTAAGGCTATTTTCTTTGTGGTTTCCTTGGCTGGGGCTTTTGGTTTGATAGTTTTGATGAAATTCCGTGGATATCCATCCATTCTTTTGGAAGACGTCCATGAGATATTTTTCTGCAATTTTTCTCAAGGTGGGAGTGCTACACTGAAAGTGTCGCCTAGTACGACGATGAAAGCTCCGCAATTTAGCTATCCAGCTCATAGAAGACTGTCACATCAAAATCATCCACCTGAGCTACAAATCTTCTCTATCATATGTCTTTTAAATTATAATAGTATGACAAAAACATTTTCATTTGCCGGTTATCGGTTTATGTGGTTGCGTTATTTATGCAGAATAGATTTGGCGAAGCTGGAATTCATGAGCTGGTCATTGGTCTTTAAGCTGACCTTATAATCTGAAGGTTCTGGGTGCCTAATGACTAGTGAGGGATCTCAGGCTAAGAAGAATCAACTGTCCAATACTCTTTAATTTTCCAGTGTTACTATGTATATAACTGATGACCAGGGTTAGATTTTTTTCACCGAAACACTGTGTCTAACATCGCCTGGCCAGTAGTGTTAGCCCGGTAGAGAGGGAAGATAGGTCAGGTGAGGCAAGCAACACTCCATGCCGTAAAAACAACAACAACAATACCAAAGATACTGAGACTTCAGAGAATAAACCTGAAGCTCTATGTTTCAGTCGGAGTGCGAGGGAATGAAATAGGAGTGTGCTATTGATAATTATCAGACGAGTGATGAACTCCCCTCCGAAATTCAGATCGATAATTGAAGCAAGTTTCATACTGAAAAGTCTAGACCATGAGGAATTTTAAGTGTGATTTGCGTAGAATTACAAAATATAGACCAAATAAGAATGAGAAATATTAGAGATAGGTCACTGCGAAGTGGTTCCGAGTGGAACATAAGGCTTCAACAACAAATTTCCACTTCCTGCTATTCTACGCTATCCTCTTCAGCTGGCTAGCTCCACGAATGCACACAATCTCATATCTCTTCTTCCAACTCTCATGATCTCCTCCATGTCAACGTCGCATCGATGACCCAGTAATCTCTTCCCATTTACATTCCACTCAAGCAATGACCTGCATTGAGCACGATGTCATTCGACGGCCTCCACAGTATATGCTTGATCCATCCTTTTATTATTTAACAAATTTTTTGAGCAATCGGTTCTTGATTGATGTGTTGCTAGCCAGAATCTCTTGTTGCTAATTCCTTCTGACTTGCCGGCTATTTGATTTTCAGTATGAAGCCAGCGACGACAGCCATTGATAAAAGGCTGTAACTTGTTGGAAATGTTTTCCGTGATTCACAGTGAAAGTTTCTGACCCATATAGAAGTACTGACTGACTGACTGACTGACTTGAAATTTGTGTTGGAAATCCGAATCTTGTTCTTTGTGCTGAGTGAATGAGTACAGAAGATATCAGAACTGGTTTCAGGTTGATGTAGGTAATAATGATAATAATTTGCTTTATTCCAGAAACAGTACTAGTGTGGTACAGTGTGGAATTTTCAGCACTTTATCTACAATAATGCATCGAATTTCATCGCACA